TGTCAAACCTACAAGTTGTGAAGAAGCAAAACAAATATTGGTCAGGGTGGTCTACATATACTTGATCCTGCCTCAAAACTGTCAGAATGGACTAGAAATCCCTTCCACCCTGAATTTCTACAAGTCTATTCTTCACTCTTGGGTATGGGAAAAGGCCACATTGAGCAGTTTCTCTTTAGTTCCCTATCCCAGTCCCCAACACCTCAGTAAGCAAAAGAAATTCACTGGGGTGGTGCTTTACACACCTTGTCATCCTCATGCCTACCAAGTAGTAATTACCCAATATCATGGATATGAGAGGAATGCTGAAGCAATAGGTCTGAAAGACTGCACCTAGGTATCATGGTGGAAGAAGTAATAAATGCTACTACTGAACTTAAATAGGGAGGGGAGTATGATCCTCTCACGGAACTATAACAGCCCAGCAATACTTTTTAACCTTCAAAGGAAGAGGATATTTTCTTGTTCAGATTTATGATTTATTGCATAACAATCCTAACTTGTCAACATTGTGATACACTCAAGATAAATGAATAAATGGCAGTGAACAGAAACTAAGTCAATCATTTGCAGTTAAATTAAGTGAAGTTACATTAGTGACTGTATATTCTACAAAGAAATCATGTATTTACTTTCCGGGTGCTTTCACTCTTGCATACAAATCTTTATTATCTGCAACCTTCTCTTCTTTGGAAGTCATCACACAGTCATGGAACTATGACATAATTGGAATAACAGAGACTTGGTGAGCTAGCTTGCATGACTGGAGCACAATATTTTTTTGGCTTCTTCACAACCTGTAGGTTTGACAGGGATTCCGCTAACGTCCTAGGTAACCTGTTCCCACAAGGTGGGTATAAACTGTTCAGGAAAGACAGGCAGGGGAGAAGAAGAAAAGGAGTCATGCTTTATATAAAAGAGCTTTATGCTTACTCAAAGCTCCAGTATGAAACTGGAGACAGGCCTGTTGATACTCTGTGGGTTAAGGTCAGAGGAGAGCAACAAGGGTGATGTTATGGTGGATGTCTGGTATAGACCACCACAGCAGGAGGCAGTGTAGATGAGGCCTTCTTCAAATAGCTGGCAGAATTTTTCCAATAACAGGCCCTGGTTCTCAGGGGGACTTCAATCACCCTGACATCTGCCAGGACAGCAACGCAGCTGTGCAAAGACAATCCAGGACATTTTTGGAGAGTGTCAGGGTCAACTTCCTGGTGCAAGTGTTGGAGAGGCCAACTAGGGACTGTGCTTCCCTCACAAACAGAGAAGAATTGGTGGGAAATGTAGTAGTGGATGGTAACTTGGACAGCAGCGACCATGAGATGATTGAGTTCAGGATCCCAAGGAAAGAAAGGAGAGCAACACAGTACAGGCCCTGGACTTCAGAAAAGCAGACTTGAACTCACTAAAGGAACTCATGGTCAGGATCCCCTGGAAAGCAAGTCTGATGGGGGGAGAGGAATCCAGGAGAGCTGGCTGTACTTTAAAGAAACCTTACTGAGGGCGCAGGAACAAACCATCCCACAGCGCAGGAACACTAGCAAGTATGGCAGATGACCAGCTTGGCTTACCTGGGAACTCTTCAGTAAGCTAAAACACAAAAAGGAAGCTCATAAGAAGTGGGAAATTGGACAAACAACTAAGGAACAAATAAAAGTATTGCTCGGGGGCTCGTGCATGCAGGGATGAAGTCAGGAAAGCCAAAGCACATCTGGAGTTGCAGCTAGCAAGAGATGTGAAGGGTAACAAAAAGGGTTTCTACAAGTATGTCACAACAAGAGGAGGATCAGAGAAAGTGTGGGTCCTTTACTAAATGGGAGAGACAACCTAGTGACAGAGGATGGAGAAACAGCTGAAGTACTCAATGCCTGAGTGCTAAGAGAGTTGGCCAGTGTGTTTGCAGAGCTTCTGGCCATGATCTTTGAAAATGCTTGGTAATTGGGAGAGGTCCCAGACAATTGGAAAGCAGCAAATATAGTACCCATCTTTAAGAAAGGGAAGAAGAAACATCCAGGGAATTATAGACCAGTCAGTCTCACCTCAGTCCCTAGAAAAATCATGAAGCAGGTCCTCCTCAAGTAATTATTTTCTAAGCACCCAAATGAGAATGTGATTGGAAACAGTCAGCATGCATTCACCAAGGACAAGTCATGCCTGACCAACCTAATTGCCTTCTATGGCAAGATGACTGGTTCTGAGGAGGCAGAGAGGCCAGTGCATGTGGTATAGCTTGACTTTACAAGGCTTTTGATATGGTCTCGCCACAACAGTCTTGCAAGCAAGCTAAGAAAGTCTGGGTTGGATGAATGGACTGTAAGGTGGATAGAAAACTTGCTGTATCATTGGGTTTAGAAGATAGTAGTCAATGGCTCGAAGTCTAGTTGGCAGCCAGTATCAAGTGGAGTGTCCCAGGGGTCAGTCCTGGGGCCAGTTTTGTTCAGTATCTTCATAAATGACCTGGAAGATGGGATGGAGTGCACCCTCAGCAAGTTTGCAGGTGACATGAAGTTGAAGAGAGTAGTAGATCCACTGGAGCATAGGGCTAGGATTCAGAGAGACCTAGACACATTGGAGGATTTAACCAAAAGGAATCTCATGAGGTTCAGTAAGGACAAGAGTAAAGTCCTGCACTTAGGATAAAACAATCCCATGCACCAGTACAGGCTGGGGACTGACTGGTTACTTAGCAGCTCTGCAGAAAAGGACTTCGGGATTACAGTGGACAATACACTAAATATGAGCCAATAGTATATTCTTGTTGCAAAGAAGGCTAAAGGCATACTGGGCTGCATTGGTAGGAATTTTGCCAGCAGAATGAAGTAAGTGATTCTGCCCCTCTATTTGGCACCGGTAAGGCCACTTCTGGAGTACTGTGTCCAGTTTTGGGCCCCCCCTCCCCCCCACTACAGAAAGGATGTGGACAAACTGAAGAGAGTCCAGCGGGAGGCAACTAAAATGGGGAAGCGGATGGGGTACATGACTTAGGAGGAGAGGCTGAGGGAACTGAGCTTATTCAGGTTGCCAAAGTGAAGACTGGGAAAGAGGGGGCAGTTAATACCAGCCTTCAACTACCTGATGTGTGGCTACAAATAGGATGGAGCTAAACTGTTCTCAGTGGTGGCAGATGACAGAACAAGGAGCAATGGTGTCAAGTTGCAGTGAGGGAAGTTTAGGTTAGATATTATGAAAAACTTTCTCACTAGAAAATTAGTAAAACACTGGAGCAGGTTACCCAGAGAGGCTGTAGGCTCTCCATCCTTAGAGGTTTTCAAGACCCGGCTAGACAAAGCCTTGGCTGGGATGATCTTAGTTTGGGATGGTCCTGCTTTGAGCAGGCGGTTGGACTAGATGAGCTCCTGAGGCCCCATCCAACCCTAATATTCTTTGATTCTATGATGCTACAAAATACTAATGCATTACTACAAACGGTGGTAGAATATTCTGGTCTTCAAATGTTAATACTAAAAATATATAAAATTAGTATTTATTTTATTTTATATTATTATATTAAAATTAGTATATATTTGCTGGCAGCAATCAGCATAGTACAAGTAGATGATTTACATTTCTAATATGGATCAACCAGTTTATATTATTTTTTTCCATTTGTAAAACAATATTTTGCATATTATACCACTTTTTACCCTGAGTAATCATTGTATCAGAGTAATAAGTGCTATAAATATGCAAAATATCTAGGGCTCTCTAATATCGATGGCCTCAGTCCAACATATTCTTATTTATGCAAGTAATTTATTGAGTCTATTCATTTGTATATGTGTTTTTGCTCATGTTGCTTATATGGGTTGTAATTCAGTTGTGAATTATTAACCTGAATATGAGTCTGTAGGATCAGAGCAGTCGTGGAACACAGTAGCTAAATACAACATTACAGAATTATTTTAAGATAGGAAATTTAAAAGACTCTTTTCAATTACAAGTATAAAGCGAAGATTCCTAAACTGTGATGTATAATGATGCACAGCACTCTTGGTGGTTATTTGTGGAGAGCTGTTCTCATGATAAAATTTCTACCTTAATTCCAGCTGCATTAAAAAGACCACTAAAGGTATATAAATACATAGAAAGATAATATCAGGAAAGAAAACAATTGGCATTGTTGCTGCAGGGGTATTCTACAGTTGCTAGTGGGAAGAGAGGTACCACAAGACCTGGAACAGGTGGAGGAGTTAGGTGCAATGAAAAGTAAGAGAAAGTTAAGGTTGCATATTAAGGTTGCAGCTCCTACAGCATCCAGAAAGGCCACAGGACCCTCACTCTAAGATGGGCTCTAGATTATGTAAATGTTCAGGAAACTCTGCTACTGGACATTATAGATCAGCAGAATATAATTATGCAAAATAGAAGTTGGCCCCATTAGCCTTATTGTTATGAAAAGTATCTTGAGAACTTAAGAAATCGAGCTGATGGAAGTTACACCAGTGTAAGAGCAGCATGAAAGAAGAATCAGACACTCAAAGTTCAGGACACTGGCTCAGTGTGCCATCTGGAAGACAACTTCTCCCAGCCCCTGGTCACCATGCAGGGACACTCATAAAAGAGGGAAAAGTACCCTCTACTGAGGCCCTGATACTACATATCACACTATTTCCATGGAGGTATTCCACTGAAATACTCAAAGCTGCCACTACTTCAGGAGAGAGTGAAATCACCTGAAGTGGTATGATGCATAAAGCTACACCAAGTACAATGATAAGGGAAATCTCATTATAAATATTTATGAAAGGCCTTAATGATACTACAAAAGTTTGTTATACTGTTGAAGATTATTTACATTGTAGAGTGTACCAATATTTATCTAGCTTTTTTATCTAGAGATAAATACATTTTGTAGAGGATAAACTGACACTATAGCTGATTGATAGAATAAATGGTTTGCCCAAGACCACAAAGCAGGCCAGCAGGATTAGAATTGAGATCTCCTGACTTCTAGCCGAGTGTCCTGCAGGTTACAGACCACAACATGCTCATGAGCTTACCTATAATGATTCTCTGTGTTGCAAAACTCTCTATGTTCTTGGATGGTGCTGTTTCTGAGAAAGGGGGCCAGACATCCATTAGGTCTGATGGCAAAGTGGTTAGCTTGTTGCTGGATATGTCCAAGTAGGTGAGGTTTTTCAGGTACCTACCAGCCTCAGCTGGAATGCTTGTAAGTTTGTTGTTATGTAAGTCAAGGATCCGCAAGTTGGGCATCTCAGCCAGAGATTCCCAAGGAAAACTCGACAGCAAATTACCGTCCAGACGTAACTCATGCAGCTGTTTCAAATTATAAAAACTGCTGACATCAATATTAGCTACACAGTTATAGGTTACCCACAGGTATTTGAGGTCCACCAGATAATAAAAGGCTTCTGTTGGGATCCTTCGTACCACAGTTTTTTCTACTCGAAGCTTTACAGTATCCACAGGAACATTCACAGGGATCTCAAACATATCCGGGTCATTACAAAGCACAGACCTAGCACCAAACAAAAAGAGATCTGTATTGCATTATCAGAAACTTGCATTTCAAATATAAAAGTAAATGTTAATACTTTTCTCACCACTAGAGCTTCCACAAGAAGATCAGTTATAATAACATCCTCTATGTGAAAGGGTTACAGAGATAAGACTTGGACTTTCTTTCTGAAGTATAAATGAACATAAAATATCAATGGTGATGCCACATGAACTCCAGACTCAGATTCAAAATATTGTGTAAATATTGGTGAAGTTTTACTTGTTGAAGCAGGTTGAAGATTACAAAAAAATGTCAAAATCATTTAACTGAGTGATTAAAATTAGGCTTCCAAATCCACAGCTAGGCACCTATGTAGAAGTGACCTAATTTTCAGGGATCCTGAGCCATTTTCCACCCACACTGACTTGGTAGAGCTGAGTTTTCTAAGACCTCTGAGAACCAAGACATTATCATTTTAGGTGCCTACGTACGGAAGCTTTAAGAGTCTTCTGTCTCAGGTTTGAAAGTTTTGGCCAATCATCTTGCCTTTCATTTTCTCTCAATATTTTCCATATAGATTTTGATTTAAAGAGGAATATTCTACATCCATTTTCCTTTCTTCTCACCAGAACATTGTCCCAGATATGCTGCAAGTATAAAACCAGCTGAAATTATAACTCCCAAAATGAGCAATAGCACAGTGTGCAGAGCATCTGGGATGAAGTGTTTCTGGGAGACTAAACTGTTCATTTATCACCCAACATCATGACTTTTTCTGTTAGCAAACAATGAGGTTTGAGGCTTATTCCAGATTAAAGGAAATTATTGCATTTATTTAAAATAGGATTCCCTTGCCATGGACAACTGGTTTTACAAATAAAGTGTTCAAGGAAGTAACAGTATTAATTGGAGCAAATTAGAGTGTAATAAGGAGTCTCTTTGTGAAAAAATTGAAGATTTAAATATAACCAGCTGCTAAATGTAAAACCAATGAGACAAGACACCAATGTTATCTATTATTAACATTCAGGCACACTGTTTACTGTGTAACAGTGATGTTAAAAAATGTCTTTGTATTGCTAAAATGCATACATGCTAACAAACACATGCTACACAATTTGCAATGATCATTTGCAAAGGGTGTTAGTCTAACACTTACTAGCCATCTTTTCTCAAATTACAATACAGAATGGTAATAAAAAAGCATACCTTGTTCCAGTGCCATCACTTCTGCCATGGTAAATGCAAGTGCATTGTGAAGGACAAAAACTGTACACTTCTTCAAAAAAACTAATCATGAGGTATAGAAAGGTCAACAGATACATGACTTTCTCCCACCAAAATGGATTTGAATAAAACCTAAAAACTTTTATTTCCAGACATTCATGTGCTGTATGCTATGACTGTGAATGCAGAGCTCCATTTAGTAATAGCAGATTACAGCAGATTAACTGAGATCTGTGGTTACTTAACCTTCAGATGTATCCTGCAAGGGATCAAGTTGAACCAGCTTGTTTTACATTATGTCAAAGGAACACATTCTTGTTAAAATTATATCTATCATATAATCAAGACTATTTTAACATTCAAATATACTCAACATAGATTTAATATACAGTGAGATATTGTTTTCCTTCTAAGAATTGTACGATTTCAGTTAATTTCTGCAAAGCACTCCGAGATCCTATAAGGCAATGTTTAATAGAAAATTCAACATAAGATAGCACTAACCAACATATTCACAAGGGGAACATCAGGTACAGCAGGTACACACATGGTACAGGAATTACCCTTGCTTAAAGGTTAAAAGTGCAAAATTAATAGCAAGACTGCAGTAGGATTTAGAAATTATTTTTAAATCCTATGTTTACAGATTTAGCAAAAAAGAAAAAGCATAAATATTTTAACAAAGCCTGCATACTGAAAACCTTTCTATCAGCAAATGAATGTGAATACAACTTCAATATTAATAACACTTCTTTACAATCAAGGAGATCAACTAATTATTGGTGCCATCTACTGATTCTCAAGTGATAGCACCCAAAAGTCTTGTGAAGTGAAATTCCATTTGAGTTTTAAATATATATTCTTCATTGTTCCTTTAAGCAACAGAACATCTGATTTTTAGATTTGAGGATTTCAGAGCAATTTACACACACTACTTTTTGAATTCAGGTTAAAAGTGCAACTTTTAGCATTCCAAAAGGGGCTGTGGCATTTTAAGACACGCAAAGGAAATGGAAAAAGGAAGCATATCTCTACACTGGCTTCACTCCATTCTTGAGACAGAAATCTTGAGAGCAGCACCAGGCAGCAACCCACAATATCCTCACTCCCCCAGTTCTAGGTTTGGCACATACAGACCAGAAACGGGTGGGAGGAGCTTTCTTTTTATTGGCAGCCTGAAATGTGTCTCAGAGCCAGTATAGACAAACTCAAAGTATGCAAGGGGAGTATGTATAAAGTCATTCCAGGCGCACTTCCTATGTTGTATAATCAGCCACAGTAGATATTTATTCTTAACACCTGAGAAACATCAAGATCAAGTATACCACCCTCTGCAACTGAATCGATAAAAAACAAACAAAAACACTCCCCCTTCAATCCTGAATAAACAGGTTCCTAGCATCATCAATACTCTACATTCAGAAACCATGAATCAGACCTCAACATCCTGAGACAGTTTTAGAAGACATGAAGGGGGCGTGTGGGGGTGGAGTTATAAAGACATTGAGGGTTCTGTTTTATTTGCCTTCTGGATTTTGAGTCTTGATTACATTAGGATTTTCTCTACAAGGGTTAGAAACTTACTCTTGAGAAATGCACCAAATATCATGAAACTGGTGACAAAATCATGAGTTGGTGATAACTGATTACTACCACTCATTAGATGTTCCTGTCTCAGTGTACTCAGAAACAAACTCTGAAAGATGTTATCCACATGCATATTCATAATTTAGACACAAGTAAGAATCAGAATGCTAGCAGGCCAGAAATTCTGGAAAAATATTTAAAGTTTAAAGGCCAAAATGTAAGTTCCAGTGGAATTCTGAAGACAGAAAATGTCTGTTACTGTTGTTTAATGAAACAAGGTTTGCTTTACTCTCCCTGCCTTCCATCTCACCTTATCCAACCACCTGAGTTATAAAACACAACAAATGCAAAACTCTAGAACTCTTGGTTTCAGAGATTATACTTATTAGACCAACTAAGAAACCACAAAAATATATATTTCTTTGCAACCTTTCAGGCACATGCACCATTCTTCAGGCTGAGAACAAATCCAAGATGGTAAAAAGAGCCCAGAGGAGACCAATGCGCATGATCAGAGGTCAGGAATACAGACCTGACGACAACAGGCTGAGCGCTATGGGACTCTTCAGACTGGAAAAGTGCAGGTTCAGGGGTGATCTGTTGGCCACCTATAAGTTTATCAGGGGTGCTCACCAGGATCTGGGGAAATGTCTGTTCACCAGAGCACCCCAAAGGATGACAAGGTCAAACAGTCACAACTCCTCCAGGACCATTTCAGGCTGGACATAAGGAAGAACTTCTTTACTGTCTGAGCCCCCAAGGTTTGGAATAGACTGCCGCCGGAGGTGGTTCAAGCACCTACTTTGAACACCGTCAGGAGACATTATCTTGCTGGGATCCTATGACCCCTGCTGACTTCCTGCCCCTGGGGCAGGGGGCCGGACTCAAAGATTTTCCGAGGTCCCTTCCATCCCTAATGTCTATGGAATCTATAAATCCTCTTAGGTAGAAAATAAACTTTGTTTTGCACAGAGGAATTTTGAGTCTATAAGACTGTTCCCCTGGCTCTGTGAGAGTCTTTTGTGTGAGTTGCTCCTTGATGTGCAGATAAAGCTGTTCTCACTCCTGGAGATGTCAGTTGTCAGGAAGGCAGGGAGGCTCAAAAAATCTCTCTTTCTTGTTCAGCAATGAAGGTTATATTTCCAAAATCAGGTAAAATATGGCATCTTCCATGTTTCAGGGATGTATTTATATTTCAGGGATGTATTCCTCTGTGGAAAATTAAGTTTATTTTCTACCTAAGAGGATTTTTACATCTTGGATTTGTCCTCAGCCTGAAGAAGGGTGTATGTGCCTGAAAGCTTGCAAAGAAAGGGGTTTTTTTGCAATTTCTTAGTTGGTCTAATAAAATATATCCTCTCTGAACCAAGAGTGCTAGAGTTTTGCATTTCTTTTTGTCTCACACCAACACAGCTACCAAATAAAACACAAGGAGCATTCACTAAGAGGGATCTTATTGAGCATCTTAAGGAGAATTGTGGCAGAGCACCTCTCGGTGCCTGCCACTTTAAGGGCGAGAGCGGACAGCAGGGCAACCAGCAGGTGTGGTCCAGCCTTGATGAGAAAGTCACATGGCTGCAGGCCAGACCATGTGATTGGAGGAGAAGGGTGAGCAACCTCCATTATAGCTCAGGCCTCAGGGCTAAGCTAGAAGTTTGCTGCTGGCAGCCGGAAAACAACAACACCTGGCTGAGCTGCTGCTCCGAACACCTTGGTGATAAAGGAGGAACTATGGGGTTGGTAGGAGGTTCCTAAGGGCCCAGTGAAGTCCCAAGCCCCAGAGAGAAGACTTTGGGCCTAAGGAGAACAAGGCCCAGCCTGACTTATAATTGTGGGCCTACACAGGGGCTAGACAAGCCCCTGATTTAAACCAGGCAGGGGTGAAGCCTGGGGCTCAGGTGAGCCTAGCTGAGACTAGAGCTATGTTATTAAGATCCCTGGGGCTCTACACAAGCCCAGTATGAGATGGCTATATGGTGGGGGCCAGAAGGGGACCCTTGCTGCCTAAGGAGGTCAGTGGCTGTGGTGCTGGGACCAGAGCACCCCAGCTGGTCAATGCAAGAGGGCAAGGGCCAGAAGGCCAAAGGCAAATGAAGCCCAAGGGCAGGCCTGGGCCATGATGGGATATCTGACACCCCAGCTGGGCTGGAGGTGGGGCCAGAACCTAAGGAGACTTATGGTCCCCTCAATGGGGGGGGACATAATTGTCTAGAGGAAGAAAGGCTCAGCGAGACAGCAGGCTGAAATGAAGGAGGCTGAAACTCAGTCTTTGGATGGGAGGCATCCAAGGAGGGATTTAGAGAGCTGAGCCAATAAGAGGCAGCCAGCAGCAGTCCAGGAACAACAAATAGCCTAGTAGGGATAAGACCAAGGCAGGTAGGCCTTCATTGGTTCTGGGTAAAACTGAAAACAACTCTGCCAGGGAAGGGTGGTCTGGTGGAGCTGTCAGTGGCAGAACAGTCCCCCAGAAAGGCCAGGCCAGTTACCTCCCCACTGAAAGGCAGGTAGAGCACCTTAAAACCTCAGCCCCCATACCTGGTGGGTTACCCACACCTAGGGACAGACACAGGGGCCAGGCACATCTCTGGACACCTGAGCCCCATGGGGCAAAGGATCCTGGAGGCCCCAGCAAGGAGGCAGAGATGCAGAGTGGCCCGAGTGAGAGGACATATGTGGAAGGCTCTAGTGAAAGGGCATATGTGAAAGTGAAGGTCCTAGTGAGAGGGCACAGGTAAATGTAGAAGGGCATAAGTAGAAGGGCATAACTTAAAGTCCCAGGAAGGGGGCAGATGGGCCAAGGTAAGTCTACGAACACCTGAGACTTCAGTTGGGCCAGAGGCTGAGACCCCAGTAAGTCCTCAGATGTGGTGAGGCAGAGTATTGGGTTAGAAGTTAAGAAGTTTGCATGAATAGCTGGCCCTAATGAGGGGGCAAGAGTGATGAGTTACCCGGAGAGGGGCATGTGTCAGAGCTCCGCCAAGGGCAAGATGAATTAGCTGGTCACTGTTCGATGAGGGTTGCGAGAGGGCCAAAGAGGTTGCGCATCTGCCAGCCAAAGAGTGAGAGTAGGTAAGCCTGATGGCCTACGCAGTCACTCAAGAAAGCAGGGCAAGTTGTGTGTGGCCCAGTGAGGGGCAGCATGTAAAAGGCCTGGTGAGAGAGGGCAGAGTGGAAGAGGCACCAGTGAGAGGGGGGAAGTATGAATGAGGCCCAATAGGGCAGAGTGAAAGGACGAATGCATGAGGCTAGAAAGGGACTGAGTTTGGCTCCTAGCGAGGGGCTGAGTTTGGCTCAGCCACAAGCCACAGCAAAGAGCAATTCTAGGATGCCATCTGCAAGGAATGGGACACAATAAGGGAAGGTCGGAGTCTTGTATAGTGCCCTCTGACATCAAGACAGTACAATGGGTAGCCTCCTGTATTTATACACCAGTTTGGGGGACAGCAAGTCATAGCAGGCAAGACTGGGCAGACTGCCCCACTTAGGAGGGCGGGCCGAGGTTGAGACCCAGCCCCGAGATGACCCCCTGTCACAGAAATGTATATTAGGCCAATTGGTTTAGGCTTCAATACTAAAGTCCAGCCTTTTAAAAAAAATAAACACAACAGAGAAAAACAGCTGGTATAATAGGGTGGATTATTATTTCATAACCAATTCCATGGACAAGATTTGACTTCTTTCCATTTACTGCACAGAACAAACTGTGTAGCTAAATTCTATAGCTTTCCAGCAGTATTATCTTAATGGACTTTGAGATGCATTCATTGGCAAGGAGTTGTTAATAGTTATCTCCTGCTGAGCCTGGCACCGCACCATTGCCAAGATTGATCTCCGGAACCTAGAATGAGGGTGAGAGGAGGCAAAAATTCAAGTCACTGGATAGACAGTAAAAGAAGCAAATGCAGAGGAAAATTTAGGCCAATTGATTGCAATAACTGTGCGAAGATAAAACCGCTTTCCATTTTAATGTAGTAATTAAATTAAAAAGCCATGCCTTTGGAATTCAGGGAGTCTTGATTCTCTTCTTATCCCAGCATAAATCAGTCCATCATTATGAAATCATCAGAAGGGGAAGGCTCCTGCCCACCAAGTTTTGTTAAAATTGCCTCACACCCCACCCTTTTCCTGGACAACCTCATTTTTCATTGACCTGCCTCAGGAATTCAGATCCCTAAACCAGGACATATTAAATATCCCATTTTATTCTATACTTTAGGGTTGTTGGTTGTAGCCATGTTGGTCTAAGGACATAGGCAGACAAGGTTCTTTGGGTAGATGTGGTATCTTTTATTAGACCAACTAAATAGTTGGAAAAAATGTTCTTTGCAAGCTTTTGGGCACAAACACCCTTCTTCAGGCATATATAAAGTCTGCTGGTGACTTGTGTGCTGTCCTGGGTAGAATACAAGCCAAAATGCAAAATTCAGGTCTGTAAAAATGCAAATGTGTGGCAGTGAGAATTGGAGGGGTGGAAGACAATAGGTGTGAGACAGGTAGGCAGAAGGAAAGGGGAAATGTTGAACTGGTGATAGACGAATGTAGCTGGTAAAATGCAGACAGGTTACCTGGGGTTATCAGATGGCAGGTAGATATTGAATTTTGCCATTTGAAATGGAAAATTCACAATACGAAGAAGAAAGAAGCCAAACTCAACAGCAACATATAATTTTCTAAGCCTATGCTGGCACAACATCATTCCCACAACATCACAACATCATTCCCAGAGGACTGAACACCTACAGTCCTCTGACTTCTACACACAGCTCCAAATATGCTTCAGAACTATGCAGGAGAACATCAGAAAAACTCAGAAGTCATGTCCTTCACATAACCTACTCCAAAAGAAATCAACTCAGGAAGGAAATCAACACATCCTACAACAACTTAAAAGACATAAATCCAGATATCTTCCCAAACATTACACAACATATACAAAAAGACAACCAAAAATGTTTTACAACATTCATCCAAAATAAAAAGAAGAAATGGAACCACAGGAACAACTTTTCCAGCCACTAAACAACCATCAGAGAAACACCACCAATACCATACAACATTCCAACCTCATACCTGATGAAACTGAAGGAACAAGTCAGCCCTCAAATATTATTAATTTCTGCATGCACACATTTACCAAAGCTGAAAAAAATCTGTCCTTTCTAAAGGCCTTAAGTTTTATCTGAAAAAATACCCTAATAATAAACTACAATGTGGAGAACCGAAAGATTTTTTTTCTGGAGCCTCTGTCTCAAGGAATATTTCCACAACCAAAAGGAATTCACTTGCAACAACACTTCATCCTGTGACAACATCAAGGAAAGCTTCCTCTTCTGCGTGGATGACCTCTACCTGACTCAAGAAGTCTATGGGCCAACAAGAGGCAAAGCACTGCTC